TTTTTTTTCTAGAGACTCGTGATTAGAAGGGAACGAACCATCCTCTACTTTACTGACAATGACCCGATTACGGTGGTGCTTTAGTCCGAGACCAAACTTCATACCAGGAGTGAGAACGATCTGAGCCAAAAAGTAGTCGTATCTGAAAGAGGATTACACAAGGTTATGAGCTCAACTTTCGTTTATTCAAGACAGTAATAAAGTAATGTTTGGCGGGGTTGATCTCAGCCGTATTATCACCCAAAACTAATGGTTTAATGATAGTGATAGCTACAATTTCATGCTACTAGGCCCTTTCATAGTTCTTAGCAAAAGAATCGGTTGTGCAGTAGGCGTTACTTATTCATTTGTGGGAAACAGGAAGGATTCGTCATCGATGGGGGTCAATCCTATGAGGCTTGCCCCCAACTTGAAGCTGTGATTATGCTATCACTTACGTACATGACCCCTCGACGCTTTCCCAGTAACGGTGGGCACTTTGAAGCGGAAGTTTGTGGGTATTACGGTGAGCCGAATTTTGCACAACTCACTGTTGATCAAGAGGATTGGTTCATCCCACCTCGCAGCTTCATTCTCTTCATACTTGGGTAATATTCCCCACCGGCCTTGCTCATCGTCTTCACCAACCTAACGTTGTCGTAGGTTTAAATGTTCTGAGTTCACTCAACCAAATTCTTACGAGTTGCCTTCACTACGGGGTTGAACGAGGGCTATTCTACATAGCAGTGATGATAACTTTTGACTGCTCTAGACTATCAACTTTGATATGAGCGAAATACAACAAACCCTTCTTTAACAATGAAATTTCGTTCTCGTTCTGGTGCTATGAGAGGTCCTTCACTACTTATTTCCGGTTGACCTGGAGCTCCAGCCTGTGCACCTTGAGCAGGTGGAGGAGGTGGCGCCATCATACCAGCTCCAGGCATCGGACCTTGAGGAGGTGGAACAGGTGGCGGCATCATGCCAGCTCCTTGCATCGGTCCTTGAGGAGGTAGAACAGGTGCCCTTATAGGAGCATCGTCCCTTGCACCTTGAGGAGGTGGAACAGGTGGCGCCATCATAGGAGCTCCAGGCTGTGGACCTTGAGGAGGTGGAATAGGTGGCGCCCTTATAGCTGCTCCTCCAGGTGGCGCATTTCTGGGTGGGGCTGGCGACTGAATACAGTGGATTAGTAAGCTGACCTCTGAGGTACGAAGTACTCTAAAGCTTACCGGCTGCTGCATTTCTCAGTTCGTCCGTTTGGTGATCGAAGACTGTACGTTAAGGGGTAGGTGAGTACAGACGCGAGAGAGGCCCGACTGCCTCAGTTGAACTCAATCCCAAATGAGAAATGCCGCGTCCGAATGCACGGAGGCTTATAAAGGGTATGAAATCATTATCAAAGGATATCTTCATGTTTATTAGTGCATCCTCACGCTAATCCCAATGTGCGTGCATACGGAAAATGGTAATCGATTTTGCGCGCGCGAAGTGTCGATCAAAATCTAAAATTCATTCCAAGTAACTTCCTCTATGTGGGCGGTGGAAAAGTGAAGTTACTTTTGGGTGGCGTTCGAATCGTTACGTGAATTCTGTGCATCAGCACATACCGCATGGTGAACCGATATCGACCAAAACGGTTTGCTCCAGTCAGAATTGTCGGAGGAGCCCAGGGCCATCATCAACCTTGAGGGAAATGGCTCATGAATGACTTTTGGCTTGCCGTTTTCTCTACGCTTTCTTGGTAA